CCTGGCAGGCCGGACCCATTTGTTTACCTGCTGTTCCGCAGGTTCGGCCGATCGCAGCTCCCACTGGCCACAGTTCGCCGCTCTGGGAAGGGCGGCCAGCACGTCCCTCAGCCTGCGCCACTTCCTGCAGCCCCCATTGGCCTGGAGTGGCAAACCGTGGCCAATCGGAGCCGCGATTGGTTGAACCTGCAGACGTGGCAGGTAAACAAACCGGCCCGGCCCACCAGGGGCTTTCCCTGAACAAGTGGCGGACTGGCTTTGAGAACCATTGAACTAAACAGTAATAAGTCACGAGGACCAGATGGTATTCACCCAAGAGTTCTGAAGGAACTCAAATGTGAAATTGCAGAACTACTAACTGTAGTCTGTAACCTATCATTTAAATCAGCTTCTGTACCAAATGACTGGAAGATAACTAATGTGACACCAGTTTTTAAAAAGGGCTCCGGAGCTGATCCCAGCAAATACAGGCCAGTAAGCCTGACTTCAGTACCGGGCAAACTGGTTGAAACTATAGTAAGGAAAAAAGTTGTCAGACACATAGATTAACACAATTTATTGGGGAAAGTCAACATGGTTTTTGTAAAGAGAAATCATGCCTCACCATTCTACTAGAATTCTTTGAGGGGGGTCAACAAGCATGTGGACAAGAGGGATCCAGTGGATATAGTGTACTTAGATTTTGAGATAGCCTTTGACAAGGTCCCTCACCAAAGAGTCTTAAGCAAAGCAAGCTGTCGTGGGATAACAGGGAAGGTCCCCTCATGGATTGGTCACTGGTTAAAAGATAGCAAAGAAAGGGTAGGAATAAATGGTCAGTTTTCAGAATGGAGAGAGGTAAATAGTGGTGTCCCCCAGGGATCTGTACTGGGACCAGTTCTATTCAACATATTCATAAATGATCTGGAAACAGTGAGGTGACAAAATTTGCAGATAATACAAAACTACTCAAGATAGTTAAGTCCCAAGCAGACTGCGAAGAACTACAAAAGGATCCCACAAAACTGGGTGACTGGGCAACAAAATGGCAGATGAAATTCAATGCTGATAAGTGCAAAGTAATGCACATTGGAAAACAGTCCCAACTGTACATATAAAATGATGGGGTCTAAATTAGCTGTTACCACTCAAGAAAGATCTTGGAGTCATTGTGAATAGTTCTCTGAAAACATCCACTCAATGTGCAGCGGCAGTCAAAAAAAGCGATCAGAATGTTGGGAATCATTAAGAAAGGGTTACATAATAAGACAGAAAATATCTTGCCTCTGTATAAATCCATGGTATGCCCACATCTTGAATAATGCATGCAGATGTGGTTGCCCCATCTCAAAAAAAAGATATATTGGAATTGGAAAAGGTATAGAATAGGGCAACAAAAATGATTAGGGGTATGGAGCGTCTGCCATATGAGGAGAGATTAATAAGATGGGGACTTTTCAGCTTGGAAAAGACGACTAAGGGGGGATATGATTGAGGTCTATAAAAGCATGACTGGTGTAGAGTAAGTAAATAAGGAACTATTATTTACTTCTCATAACACAAGAACTAGGGGTCACCCAATAAAATTAAAACAAAAAAAAAGGAAGTAGTTCTTCACACAATGCACAGTCAACCTGTGGAACTCCTTGCCAGAGGATGTTCTGAAGACTATAACAGGGTTCAAAAAAGAACTAGATAAGTTCATGGAGGATAGATCCATCAATGGCTATTAGCCAGGATGGGCAGGGATGGTGACCCTAGCCTCTGTCTGCCAGAAGCTGGGAAATGGGCAACAGGGGATGAATCACTTGATGATTACCTGTTTTGTTCATTTCCTCTGGGGCACCTGGCATTGGCCACTGTTGAAAGACAGTATACAGGGCTAGAGGGACCGTTGGTCTTACCCAGTATGGCTGTTCTTATGTCTAAAAGTCTAAAATTTATTCTAGCACAATGGTTCTCAAACTTTTGTACGGGTGACCCCTTTCACATAGCAAGCTCTGAGTGTGATTCCCCCTTAAATACAAATTAAAAACACTTTTTTATATAACACCACTATAAATGCTGGAGGCAAAGCACGGTTTGGGGTGGAGGCTGACAGCTCGCGACCTCCATGTAATAACCTTGCGATCCCCTGAGGGGTCCTGACCCCCAGTTTGAGAACACCTAGCAAGATACAGCCTTTGTTTGAGAAAGTTTCTTTCATCAAGTCTCCTTTCCAGCCATCTACCAGTCAGGATGCATCACGGAGATCAAATAGACTGTTTTCTTTGTCTCCTACAGTGAAGGATAAAGATGGAGTTTCTCTGTTCCTTATATGCCCCAAATGGATTTCTTTGTCTTACATGTCAGGAAGGCTTCCTGGGGACTCAGTCTCCTGTCTCTCTTTGGGGTGCAGGAGCCCTGTTAATTTTGTCTCTTGAGTTCAGGAACATAACACCCATTGGTTTAGCTTGATGGCTTTGTATACTGCTAGTATGGAAACTGAGGCAAACCCACATTCCTTTGTTTAGGGGAGACCTGTTTATCACCTCTACCTAGGCTATCTGGTCTTAAACATGTTCTATTAACATCATACAGAGGAATTCATAACTTCATATATAAGGCTAACACATGCACTTTACAATGATTCAATGTTACAGGCTTTCTTATGACACCTCACAAGGCATATTTTGTGCAAAATATCATTGCAGTAGTATGTAGGCTGTGAATACAGGGGTGCCTAGAGTCACAATAGGGGGCTGTTGGAGGAAGCTGATTAGCAATCTGTTTAAGATGAACTGAAATAAAAGTGTCCACAGAGGGGGCTGCACCAGCTGAATTTTTTTTTTTAAATGAACCATTAGAGCAGCACTGATTGAACTCCTGTAGGCAGGCCTAATGCAGCTTGTTGAAGAGATTAGTGACCTAATTTCACTACTTTCCAGGAAAGCAAACCAATGCCACTGCTAGAAAGTGATCGTTAGAGGCTTGAGGGTAGATTGCTAGCCTCCAGATGCCATATGATGTTTGGAAACAGAGAGCACAGCACTTTTTAAAAAGGAATTATCTTTCAGAGTTGCTGCTTGGTGATTTTAGCTTGAATAATGTTTTGATATATGGCAAGCTTGTCAAGTCTATTCCTTGGGATTCTCACAGGATTCTGTTCCCTGGCAGTTAAACCCCTTTCCAGCCCCTATGCCATTTCCATTCTTTCCAAGCTACAAGAGCTATGCAAAGAAACAGTGCTGTCAGCCCTGCTATCTTCTACCAACAGGGTGACTGGAGGCATTTCCACAGTCCTTATCAAGCTGCATTGCTTCCCAGGCAACAAGCAGGCTAGTTTCCTGAATACATCCTTACCCTACCACAGACAGGCAGATGCAGATGGCTAGGCAGGGAAGCAAGGCTTTGCTACTCACTTTTTAAGATGAAATGCATGCAAAGAAGTGTGTGCCTTTATATTACCAATGCATTTGGCTTTAGGCCAAGTCTCACTCACTGGGCATGTGTAATCCCATTGACTTCACTGAAGTTACATGTGGGAGTGATAGGCTCCGACTCCATGGGTACTTCGGGGTTGGAGGACCCACAGGAAAAAAAAAAATGGTGGGTGCTGAGCACCCACCGGCACTCTCCCCCCTCCCTCCCAGTGCCTTCCACCATCAGCTGTTCCGCAGCATGCAGGAGGTGCTGGAAGGAGTGATGGCGGGCGTGCTCGGGGGAGAAATGGGGCGGGCCCTGGGCCAGAGCCAGGAGTCAAGCACTCCCCAGCACAGTAGAAAGTTGGCACCTCTGGTGGGAGTAGAGCAAGCAGGAACCCACCCATGACATCCTGGAAAGGCAACGTGTGGTCTAGTCAGTTTGCACGCTATTGGAGGCAGGGGCCATGTCTTCCTGTGTGTTTGTGGAGTGCGCAGAACAGAGCTCTGAGCCCAACTGGCGCATCTGGATGCCTTCAAAATGGAACTAAAAATGGCCAGAACGTTAAGGCCTGGAGCTTAGATTTTTGAAGCCACTCGTGAGAATTTGATACCCAATTCCCATTTACAAGAAGTGGGCACCCAAATCTCTTGGGCAGCTGTGAATGTCTCAGCCTGGATCCTTTAAGTTATCCGGTGATTTTAGATTTGGGAACTGAAGTAGAAACACCTTGATTTTTTAAAGGTGCTTAGCATCTACCGTTTCTCCAAACCGGGAGCTGGAGGTAGCTCAGCACTGTAAACACTCTGGCCCTAAGTGTCCAAAATTAGCAGACAATGGAGACTGAGGCTTTTAAAGCCTCACCATCTGTGAAAAGGTGATGATTCTTGTTTACTTTCAAAAGCTTGTTCTGGAAGATTAAGCATGCAGTATTACGCATGAAATTGCATGATATGCCACATCTACCGTTAATTAAAGACGTGTTTAATCCACCACATGGTCGTCTGCCCTCACATTGCTCTCTGTGGATAAGTTTACCAGATGAGGGATTTATGGTAGAGCAGTGGCTCTCGACCTTTCCAGACTGCTGTCCCCCTTTCAGGAGTCTGATTTGTCATGTGTACCCCAAGTTTCACCTCACTTAAAAACGACTTGCTTACAACATCAGACATAAAAATGCAAAAGTGTTACAGACACACTATTACTGAAAAATCACTGACTCTCTCATTTTTACCATATAATTATAAATGGATTGGAATATAAACATTGTACTTACATTTCAGTGTATGGCATATAGAGCAGTATAAACAAGTCATTGTATGAAATTTTAGTTTGTACTGACCCTGCTAGTGCTTTATATGTAGCCTGTTGTAAAACTAGGCAAGTATCTAGATGAGTTGATGTATCCCTGTGGGTACACAGGTGTCTTCCAGAGGGTACATGTACCCCTGGTTGAGAACCACTGGTTTAAAAGGCCCCTTTATCTAGCCTGCCCCACACCCCATTTATATGCCTCCTGTGTGCTCCACTGAACAGCATCCTAGTCACACAGTCTCTTTTAAAAGGTAGCTGCAGAAAATGTTCCTGGCTTTTAAGTAAAACCAGATTCCATCTTACAGTTAACGTCCCTGGGTGTTTCTCCTCCTGTGTTCTCCATGAGCTCTGCATTCCCAGGAACACTGAACAACTTATTTGGCAAAGCAGGTATGTGACAATGGCTACGTCCTAACAAGTACAACAGACAGGATTTTTGTGTCCTTTCAAATAGTGTCTCTATCTACACATGGTAGCCAGTTGTAAAATTGGCAAACATCTAGATGAGTTGATGTATCCTGGGAAGACCTCTGTGTATCCCCCACGGGTACTCACTCCCTTGGTTGAGAACCACTGCGGTAGAGGACTTGTGGCGAGTTTCATGGTCCGCAGAGAAAGTGACACATAATTATCTTGTCTCAGACCCCACTCAATGTCAACCTGGGTTTGATTTACTGCAAAGGCAATGGAGCCTTCTGAACCGGTTTTGTACTGGACATGGAATTTGTGCTGCAGACAGTGCACTATGTGAACATGGGCAGCCACAAACCATGACACATATTGTTGAGGACTCAGATAACAAAATGACTCAACTTCCTGGAGGTCTTCACACCTTGAACATCGCTGATAAGAACGCTGTGGCTTGGCCTGACTGGTTTGCATATGCTAAATAAATAGTCAGTGTTTGGAATCACACTGAAAAGGGATGAGAGAAAGATCAGGGCAAATATCGTGAGCAACTCTTGGGATGCCAAATTACCCTTGTTTGGAGGTTACCAGCGAGATCTGTGATTGGAAGCCTCCACTCCACCCATCACTGCATCCACGCTCCTAAAATTCAGATCACAAATCCCAACAGTTCCTATTTCCTACCAGCGAATAAGTATTGCCCAGGATTCTGCGAGATTTACTCCTGCACTATTTTTAGTAAATCCCTAAGTTCTAAAGACTCCAGCCACCTGCCCAAAATGGAGTCAGAAAAAAAAAAAAGTTTCTACATTATCCAATTGGATACCATCCCACCATGCAAAAGCCCAGAGTAAGACACTGAACTAGCACCATACTCCAGAGATGAACACAATCTGGTTACAAACTGCTCAGGAGCAGCAATTCTCACTTGTGTTCAAACAGCGCCCCTTCCCCGTAACGTTAGTTTCTGAGAACAAGCTCTTAGTCGGTCATGTTCTTACAGTAAAGAAGTCACTTTGGCAATTCTTTTTGAAAGATGGTATTAAGGCCTAGTCTACACTAGGAGGGTTTGCTATACCAGGAAAAGCACTTTTCGGTTGGTATAACTGTGTCTATGCCAGGGCTTTTACCAGTATACAAATATCAAGAGTGTCATATCCTTAACCAATATTACTGTACCAGCAAATGTTTCAAGTATAGACCTGGCCTAAGGCTACTGAAGAGTTCCCAATGATACAGACCTACTAAGTCTCCTTCGCTGGAAAAATCATGGATTAGTTTTTAAAAGATGACTTGCAATGTTTAAAATTGCATTTGTACTCCCTTTTTTCCTTTTAGGAGACATATACAGGTGCCCAAGTTAGTGCTGTTCTGTGCGTGTATGGTCTTGAGAATTCTCTTTTAAAGCTTTGAAATATAAGGAACGTCCAGTCTAGTCTTGCTGGAGGTCTCAGATAACGTATATTGTGAGCTTCCATGTTTTAAAAGGGAAAGAGCCCATTTGGACCACTTAACAGAAGCCATCCTCTCCATAATGGGCATTTGCAGGCACTAGAGTTCACCAAGGGCCCATCTGCTTTTTGCTAACTAAAAATTTCTCCCCCTTAATTGCTTGGCTCTCAGTGTCGTCTCTTGTGATGTTCTAGTTTTACTAATTTTCTGGTTGAAATCTTCCCTGATTGACAAGATCTGTATTTCTACTGTAAACACTTGAAAAAAATGTTCCTGTTTCCTTTCCACGTTATAAAGCAGCAGCAGAAGACACAAGCCTATTTCCCCTTTAGAAAGGAACCTTGGAGGTTTTCTCTCGCCTAGGATTTAAAAAGCGGGGTTAGAACATTTTAGCTGACACATTCCAAACACCTTTAAATCCTAGTTGAGACAAAACTTTTAGGCGGCTTTTTAAAATATCCCTCCTATGAAAGATTTTGCAGTGCTCCTAAGCAATAAGTGTCTCAATTTCTTGACTTCAAAGTGAGAGCCCTATACAGTGCAAGCACGTGCTCTCTGCATTGCAATGGGTTTTGCAGAAATCCGTTTCCTCACCAAGGTCTAGTTTTTGGAATTAAGCACATGTGCCTTGCTGAACTGGGGCCACTGTTGCTCATTAAACCCAACAGAGAGGAGTGTCTCTCACACAGAAAAACCTTACACATATGGTTGTAACTATAGGCAGTGGGGATTACAACTGAACCAAACCTGTAGTGTAGGTGGTTTGTTTTTACTTGTTCTCAGAGACACTAATGTATCTATTCCCTGCTTGTTTTAATAAGTCCTCTTACAGGAAATGCGATGGTCAAACCGGATACGGATGTATCTTTTGTGTAAGCAAGCATCACGTAGTTATTCAGGATATTTACCTCTCAACGTACTGTCTTGCCAGGCTATAAAAACCTAGTCCCTGAGAATTCTTTCAAACAGTGAAGATAAGAATTTAGGGCAGGAGAAAAATGATGTACAGTACCCAATGGTTGTAATTAAATTACTGACTGTGATGCCTCAACAAGTCCTCCAACACTGACTAGCTCTGTTCTTGAGCAATCTTTTAATTTTTCTAATTGGATACGGATGACAAATCCAAACCAAATGCCATTTTATCTGATCTCCTAATTCAGGATTTATCATAGGTATTCAATGTCAAAATGTAACCAGACAAAAAACAGTTTACTACATACTCAAGGAGACTAGGAAAGTCAGTTTGATATGCTACACACGCAACAGGAATTTCACGCATGCATGCCACAGAGAAAAAAAATATATACACATCTAAGTATGTCAGGACTTGATTTTACATATAATTACGTCTTATGCTTTGCATTTAGGGTTTTAAATCTTGGATGCAAGAAGTCTTGGAGAACAGCATGCAGACCAGACAGTTATATACTTTGGGCTATTTAGATTAAATTAGAATAGAAGCTGTTGCACTGAACACTGCAAGACAAAGCTATTCATTATTTAAACATGGAACAAGAAGCTGCGTTCCATGCACAAATGACTCTGGTAGGGTTACAACTAGGAAGCGCTATACACCCAAGTATCTCTCTTGAAAATTAACTTAAAGCCTAAGCACAAAGTCATTACTAGGAAGTGTAAAAGACCCAGTAACGCGATACATGGTTGCAAGATCAAGCACTCAAACATCAGGGAGCACCCAATTTTGAGGTTGCTCCAGCAACCCTAGCTCTTAATGCATACCATAAAGGTATGCATGCTGTTTGCAGTTTACCTTTAACGTGAGACGTGAGAGCTGGCACCTCCATATGCAAAATCCTGGAATAGTTTTAAGAGCTATTTAACCATGAGGCAATCTGAATGACATACAAAACAGTAATAGCAGGCGGCAGCACCACAGGAAAGAGAAATGCTGACTGTGAAAGTCTAAGGAGACCTTCCCCACACTCCCAAGCACCGCCCTAACTAGGGTTCAGGTAGGAGTTCATAAAGACAAGTACCGTTCCTCATGAGCAAAGCTGCACGAGAACTCTGCTCCCGCAAAGCTCAACCGCACAGGGCAGAAGCCTGAACGCAAGCCCCCGTGCAGTTTAGGGGCCCCACGGAAAGGCTGCACTGATGGAAGCTGCCCTAGGGGATATTAACCTTCAGTTAACCTGGAGCCTAAACAAGTTCACACTGAAGTAATCAGCAAGACGTCCATGGCAGCTGATCAGAACCCTGGGGCTGCACTGTATACCAGTTCTAGAGCCCACAAGATGCTTTGAAATAACCTGTAGGCTTGGTCTCATTCATTTCTTTGGCACTTGTCTTCGTGTACAGTGCTATAGTGAAGACGCTACTTCACTGATAAGAGAGCTTCTCCCATCAGTATAGTTAATCCACCTCCCTGAGAAGCGGTAGCTATGTCGGCGGGAGAAGCTCTCCAGTCTATACAGGGGGTTAGGTCAGTATAACTGCATTGCACAGGGGTGTGTATTTTTCACATCCCCGAGTGACGTACTTATACTGACATAGGTCTGTTGTGTAGACCTGGCCTTGGAAGGATAGACTAGTGCACATTTCTGTGATGAAGAGTGTAATGAAAAAAATAAAACAAGCTTCCTCTGCAATCAACATACACTTTACCTGGGTTGTGTCTTCCATCAGGCCTCTGATCTTCTCCACGACATCATTACGTCTGTGCTGCCGCAGTGCGCTGATGAGCTGAGCGAGACTGGCTTCAGGACCTCGGATGGTCCAGTGCTGTAAGGCGGCATAGGCCCTTTCATGGTCTGCAGTGTACCCATTGGAGAAAGCCGCCATCTCACGGTCACTTGCATTGCTCAGAAATTGGTAGATCTCTTTCCACTGGCTTCCAACCTGGGCTGCTACGAGCTTCAGAATGTCAATGCCTGTCAAACAGAAGAGGTGGAGATGAAACAGCAGTTTCCAGCCTTGCAGTCTCTTATCAGTTAAATATCAACCTATTTATGTTTTGTACTAGCAGAAGGGTGGGTCTCTTCCATTTAAGAGATGCATTTAACACCTCTTTAGGTCTTTCATTAGCAATAAAGGATGCTTATAATCCTGGGAGGCATGCTACTTCCCAGTGTTTTGCTTTAAGAACTCACCTTTGACACTTGTTATGTAAGTAAACGGTGTAAAATACATAAATACCTCTGATGCAGAGACATCTTCTAAAATTAGCTGCTGTGTTTGAGCAGTGGCTGATATTAACAAGCTTCCTCATTGGTGGTTGCATTACGATACCTGGCCAACTAGCCCTTCACTTGCTGGTTTGATTTGGGGCAGGGGATGTTACACATTTCAGAGTGGATTCTGGTGAGAGGGGCACTTGTTATCCAGCCCGCTGCACTGCAATCTTATTTAGTTCATCCAGTAGTGATGAAATCCAGTTATGCGTTGCATCAGCACTGCTACTCAACTAAAACGGTCTATGGGTTGCTCTGGTGTGAAGAGATCCCTAGTAAAGAAGAGTGATTGAAGTTTTCTAAAAAAGAACAGGAGTACTTGTGGCACCTTAGAGACTAACAAATTTAT